AGTGGGCAACACGCAAAAGGAAGGGTCCCCCAGTGGAGGCCTCTTGGAGCGTCTTGGGGGTTGGCGGCCCCGGACGCCTCTGAGAGCGTATTGGGTGCCTCGGAGAGCTTCTTGGGGCCTTCTGGAGGTCTCTTGGGAGCCTCTTGGAGGCTTCTCGGGCGCCTGTTAGGGCCCCCCGGCGCCTCCTGGGCGCCTCTTGGGGCTCTCTTGAAGCGCTCTTGGGGGCCTTGGGGTCGCTCTCGGGGCCATCTTGGAGGATATCTAAGGGGGCATTAATTAGCGCTGTCCTTTGTGGCCTCCTGAGGAGGCCCCTAATTTGCGACCCCCCTCCTGTGATCGATCTCGCCCAGGATGGCCCAAAGATGGCCCCCCAAGGCTCCCAATGGCGCCCCAAGAGGGCCCAAAGAGGTGGCCAGGAAGCCCCAAGAGGCCCCCAGTACGCCCACAAAGCTCCCAAGAGACCCCCAAGAGGCCCCAAGAGACCCCCCACAGGCGCCCAAGATGCTGCAGGAGGCCTCTGCGAAAATGCCAAATCATTGATATTACTAAGGTTTTAGCCACATGTTGGCCTCTTTGGGGGGGGGCACTGATTAAGATGACTCCAAGGGCGCCTGGGAGAGCCCAAGTTGACCTCCAAGATGGCTCAAGATATCCAAAGATGTCTTATAATGGCTCCCACGATGCTCCAAGATGCCCCAAGACCGCTCCAAGACGGCTCCAAGTGGCCAAAGAGCTCCCCCAGGAGGCCTCGAAGCTCTCTTGGGGCCGTCGTGGGGCCTTCTTGGGCCGCCTTGGGGCCCTTGGGCCGCTTCACCCGAAAAAAAAAGAAATGGGCCATGGGAGCCGCCTGGGAGCCGCTTCACTCGAAAAAATACCAGGGAAACTGGCCATTACCACCGATTCACGCGCGCCTCCCCCCCCCCCTGCACCCTCCTAAGGAAGGCTTCGCCCCTGTTCAACGTCACTCGCTCGTACCTCGCTCTTTCCGTCACCTGGGGCCGGCACGGAAACGGAAAGAGCGCTTCAGCAACCTGCCCGAGATGGATCATGACACCGTTCGCTCTTGGAAGCCTTGGTGGTAAGAGCTTGTTGCGTCACCGCTCGTTCTTGGGAGCCTTGCTGGCAAACGCGTGTTACGTCACCGCTCTCTGTTGGGAGCCGTACTTGGAAGAGCTTGTTACGTCACCGCTCTCTGTTCAGAATTCTCGTGCCCATTGATGCTTACGTTGCCGCTCGCTCTTGGGAGCCTTGGTGGTAAGAGCTTGTTGCGTCACCGTTCGCTCTTGGGAGCCTTGCTGGTAAGCGCGTGCTACGTCACCGCTCTCAGTTGGGAGACTTGCTCCTTCTCCTCCTCCTCCTCTTATTATTATTATTTTTCATACTATCCTCCTCCTCCTCCTCCTCCTCCTCTTCTTCCTCCTCCTCCTCCTTCTCATCCTTCTCCTCCTCTGCCTTCTCCTCCTCCTCCTCCTCCTCCACCTCCTCCTCCTCCTCCTACTCCTCCCTTCTCCTCTGCCTCCTCCTCCTCCTTCTTCCCTCCCTCCCTCCTTCCCTCCCTCCTTCCCTCGCTCCCTCCCTCCTCCCATTTCCCTCCTCCTCCTCCCGCCTTCCTACGTCCCTCTCAGTTGGGAGACTTGCTCCTCCTCCTCCTCCTCCTCCTCCTCCTCCTCCTCCTCTTCCTCCTCCTCCTCTCCCCCCCCCCCTCCTCCCTCTCCCTCCTCCTCCCTCCTCCTCCTCCCTCCTCCCTCCTCCCTCCTCCCTCCTCCCCTCCCTCCCTCCCTCCCCTCCTCCCTCCTCCTCCCTCCTCCCTCCTCCCTCCTACCTCCTCCTCCTCCTCCTCCTCCTCCTCTTCTTCTTCTTATTATTCTTCGTATTATTATTATTATTATTCTTATTCTTATTAGTATTCTTCTTAGTATTCTTAGTCTTCTTATTCTTCTTATTCTTATTATTACTATTCTTCTTCTTCATATTCTTATTATTCTTATTATTATTATTCTTATTATTCTTCTTCTTGTCTTCTTATTCTTATTCGTCTTATTATTCTTCTTCTTATTATTACTATTATTAGTATTATTATCATTAGTATTATTATTATTATGATTGTTATGATTAGTATGATTATTATTATTATGATTACTAGTATTAATAATAATATTATTCTTATTCATCGTCTTATTCTCATTATTATTAATATTATTATTCCCAACCCTCCTTGGTTGGGTATTCGTTTTGAATAGAGCAGTGTGGTCGCGTCCCTCCTCCCTCCCTTCCTCCCTCCCTGCCTCTTCCTGTCTTGCCTGCGGGGGTCTGCGATCTGTGAATCTGTCGCCATTTTCGAGGCCTGCTGGGGGGCCCAGCACAGTGAGGGCCACGGGCAGATTCAAATTACACCTCGCCATCCCTGGGGGGGCTGCGCTCTGTGAAACTGTCGCCATTTTCGAGGCCTGCTGGGGGGCCCAGCACAGTGAGGGCCACGGGCAAATTCAAATTAGACCTCGCCATCCCTGGGGGGCTGCGATCTGTGAAACTGTCGCCATTTTCGAGGCCTGCTGGGGGGCCCAGCACTGAGGGCCACGGGCAGATTCAAATTAGACCTCGCCATCCCTGGGGGGCTGCGATCTGTGAAACTGTCGCCATTTTCGAGGCCTGCTGGGGGGCCCAGCACAGTGAGGGCCACGGGCAGATTCAAATTAGACCTCGCCATCCCTGGGGGGCTGCGATCTGTGAAACTGTCGCCATTTTCGAGGCCTGCTGGGGGGCCCAGCACAGTGAGGGCCACGCGCGGATTCAAATTAGACCTCGCCATCCCTGGGGGGCTGCGATCTGCGAAACTGTCGCCATTTTCGAGGCCTGCTGGGGGGCCCAGCACAGTGAGGGCCACGGGCAGATTCAAATTAGACCTCGCCATCCCTGGGGGGGCTGCGATCTGTGAAACTGTCGCCACTTTCGAGGCCTGCTGGGGGGCCCAGCACAGTGAGGGCCACGCGCGGATTCAAATTAGACCTCGCCATCCCTGGGGGGCTGCGATCTGCGAAACTGTCGCCATTTTCGAGGCCTGCTGGGGGGCCCAGCACAGTGAGGGCCACGGGCAGATTCAAATTGAGACCTCGCCATCCCTGGGGGGGCTGCGATCTGTGAAACTGTCGCCATTTTCGAGGCCTGCTGGGGGGCCCAGCACAGTGACGCCACGGGCAGATTCAAATGAGACCTCGCCATCCCTGGGGGCTGCGATCTGTGAACGGTCGCCACTTTCGAGGCCTGCTGGGGGGCCCAGCACAGTGACGCCACGGGCAGATTCAAATTGACCTCGCCAATCTGTGAAACTGTCGCCACTTTCGAGGCCTGCTGTGGGGGCTGTCGCCATCTGTGAAACTGTCGCCATTTTCGAAGCCTACTGGGGGGCCCAGCACAGTGAGGGCCACGCGCGGATTCAAACTAGGCCTCGCCATCTCTGGGGGGGCTGCGATCTGTGAAACTGTCGCCACTTTCGAGGCCTGCTGGGGGGCCCTGCACAGTTACGCCACGGGCATATTCAAACGAGACCTCGCCATCCCTTGGGGGCTGCGATCCGTGAAACTGTCGCCATTTTCGAGGCCTGCTGGGGGGCCCGGCGCAGTGACGCCACGGGCAGATTCAAATTAGACCTCGCCATCCCTGCGGGGCTGCGATCTGTGAAACTGTCGCCACTTTCGAGGCCTGCTGTGATCACCATTTTCGAAGTGGCTAGGAGTGCCCAGGAATTGTAACTCATCAGCTTTATCAAGCCCTTTTCCTGTAGCCAGTGTCCTGCGAGTCTCCCGAATTCCGTCTGCAGACATATGCAATCCTCGCTCCGTCATCGCCCCCTTGTAAAGTATCCTAAACTGTTTGCGCCCCGCTTTTGCGCAGGGGTTGGGTACGTCGCCAGGGTAATTGTTATTAGTGTTCTTATTATTATTCTTCTTCTTATTATTATTAGTAATATTAGTATCCTTCTTATTCGTATAATTATTAGTCGTCGTATTATTATTCGTGGTGTTATTCTTTGTAATCGTATTATGCTTATTATTATGCTTGTTCGTCTTAGCACTCTTATTATTATTAAGACTATTATTAGGAATATTACTACTATTATCGTTACTATTATTATTAGTAGTAGTAGTAGTAGTAGTAGTAGTAGTAGTAGTAGAAGTAGTAGTACGACGACGACGACGACGACGACGACGACGACGACGACGACGACTACTACTACTACTACTACTACTACTACTACTACTACTACGACCACTACTACTATTACTACTACTACTACTACTACTACCACTACTACTACTACTACTACTACTACTACTACTACTAATACTACTACTACTACTAACTACTACTACTATACTACTACCACTACTACTACTACTACTACTACTACTACTACTACTACTACTACTACTACTACTACTACTACTACTACTACTACTACTACTAATACTACTAATAATAATGATAATAATAATAATAATCGTGTTCGTCTTCTTCTTCTTCAGCTTCTTTTTCCTCCTCCTCCTCCTCCTCCTCCTCCTCCCTCGCCCACTCGTCCCCTCGTCCTCGTCCTCTTCCTCCACATTGTTTTTCTGATCGTCTTTCTCCTCCTCCTCCTCCTCGTGCTCCTCTCCTCCTCCTTCTTCTCCTCCTCCTCCCCTCCTCCTCCTCTCCTCCTCTCTCTCTCTTCTCCTCCTCTGTCTCTCTCTCTCTTACTCCAACTTCAACTCCAACTCCTCCCTCCTCCTCCCCCCTCCTCCTCGTCCTCCTCCTCCTCCTCGTCCTCTGCCTCCTCCTCCTCCTCCTCCCCACCTCCTTCCTTCTCCCCCTCCTCCTCCTCCTCCTCGTCCTCCTCCTCCTCGTCCTCCTCGTCCTCCTCCTCTCCTCCTTTTCCTCCTCCTCCTCCTTCCTCCTCCGCCCCTTCCTCTTCCTCCTCCTCCCCTTCCTCCTCCTCCTCCTCCTCCTCCTCCTCCTCCTCCTTCCTGCTCCTTCTCCTCCTGGAACGCATCCGCGTGCGCCGTCACGTCGCGGGACATGAGCCGCGCGACGACGTTGCTCGTGGGGTCTAGTGGAAGGAGGTCCAAGGCCACCTGTCCGAAAGCCGCCCACGTTCGATACCTCTGGTCGGGGTGACGTCCCCGTGATAAGGATTGAAAACGCACGCTGGCAGCGTTCAAAGGTCTGCGGCGGTGCCGTAGCCGCTCAGTTCGCGATTGGCCCGCCGAACTTCGGGTGCCATGTACATGGGTGCGCCGACGAGCGTGGTGCACGATGTCGGCGTTGGGGAAGGGCGTGTGAATCCGAAATCGACCGGACAAGAACAAGAAGCGCCGCTTTTGTCCAACGGGATTGCGAGAGAGCGTCTGGAGGAGAACGTCGAAGACAGTGATTTGGGCCGCTCGAGGCCTCTTGGGATACCTTTTGGAGGCCTCTGAGGGCGCCTTGGAAGCTTCTTGGGCCGTCGGGGCGCGATCTTGGGCGTCTTGGGGCCATCTTGGGGGCTTCTTGGGCAATCTTGGGGGCCTCTTGGGGGCCTCTTGGGCCGTCTTGGCGGCCTCTTGCGCCGTCTTGTGGGGCCTCTTGGACCGTCTTGAAAGCCCATACCCAACTCTGTTGTACCGTAGTAGCGATAGTCCCAGAAGTAGGAGATCGTCGCGGGAGCGACGGGCCATGTCAAACGAACATGGTTTCGGTCTCGATGGCAAATAGTGTGCATCGCGATGAGGCGCAGTCATATGTTGGCGGCCGGCCGTTTGAGAACAAACGGCCGCGGACAAACGCTCGCTATCTCTCGCCTTTGCCCCAGCCTCCTTTTGAGTAGACGGCCCAAGACGCCTCCCAGCAGGCCTTCAACTAAACGCCACGAAGAAACCAACATCACTTATTTTTGAAGGAATCCGGCGTTTGTTCATTTTCGGCCTCCCGACGGCCCGAGGCGGCCAAAGAGCCCCCGAAGATCGCCCCAATATCGCCCAAGAAGCTTCCAAGATGGCCCCAGAACTGCGAAGAAGCACCCAAGACAGCCCCAAGAGGGCCCAAGAGGCCTCCAAACCGCCCAAGATGGCATCCGAGACGGCCCAAGATCGTCCAAGAGGCCTCCAAGGAGGGCCCGGAACGGCCCAAGAGGCTCCCGAGACGGCCCCAAGAGGGCCCCAAGACGGCCAAAGGGGCCTCCAAGACGCCCAAGGTGGCCTCCAAGACGGCCCTGGAGCACCCTAAGAGGGCCCCAAGTCGGCCCAGAGAGGCCCCCAAGACGGCTCCTGACGGGCCAAGAGACCACCAAGACGGCCCAAGATGGTTCCAAGAGGCCCCAAAAGGCCCAAGCGTCCCCCAGGAGGTCTCCAAGACGGCCCAAGACGCCTCCCAGGCCTCCAACTAGACGCCACGAAGAAACCAACATCATTTATTGAAGGAATCCGGTGTTTGTTCATTTTCGGCCTCCGACGGCCCGAGGCGGCCATAGAGCCCCGTAAGATCGCCCCAACATCGCCCAAGAAGTTTCCAAGATGGCCCCAGAACTGCGAAGAGGCACCCAAGACAGCCCCAAGAGGGCCACAAGATGGCCCAAGAGGCCTCCAAACCGCCCAAGATGGCCTCCAAGACGGCCCTTGAGCGCCCAAAGAGGGCCCAAAGTCGACCCAGAGAGGCCCCCAAGACGGCTTCAGATAGGCCCAAGATGGTTCCAAGATGGCCCAAGACGGCCCAAGAGGCCCGCCCCAATGAGGGCCCCAAGACGGCCCAAGAGGTCTCCAAGGTGGCCTCCAAGATGGCCCTGGAGCACCCCAAGAGGGCCCCAAGTCGGCCCAGAGAGGCCCCCAAGACAATTTCCGACGGGCCAGGAATGTCCTGAGACGGCCAAACGAAACACCAAGAAGCCCCCCAAAGCCCCAAAGAAGCCCAAAGAGGCCCCAAAGATGCCTTCAAGAGGCTCCCCAAGAAGCTCCGAGGAGGCACCAAGAGTGCCCCCAGGGGCTCCGAAGATGCCCCCTCCTCCTCCTTCTCCTCCTCCTCCTCCTCCTGATCTTCCCCGCCATCCTCCCCCAAGTGTTCCCCGAAAGGTGTCCACAACGGCTGGGGGAACACATGGCCCGATAGCTTAGCAGAGCTCTTCTCACAACGCTGGGCCGCATGGGCGATTCCAAGAGGCAGGAGCGGCGGTGATTCGCCGCAGGCGTCTTCGAAACTTGGATCTGGGATGGACCCCCTCCTCCCTGGCGTGGAGCGCACCAGGGGCGGCGCTGATGGCGCCGCCAAGGGGGCCATGGCGACCGAAACTCAAAGAAGAACGAACAACCTCGTCCAAGGAGGCAACTCGCTGCCATGCAAGCCGTGCCTTACCGAACCCGTCTGTCTTCCAGGGGCTCACATGGCGCGTCGCTGGCGTGGGCGGCGACGGCAGGGAGGCCCGGTGAGGTGCAGCGCGTGCGACGAAGACCAACCAGCTTCGGTGGTCACCATGTCGGTGCGCCAGATTCGGGCAGGGACATGCTCGGCATCTCCCTACGCTCTGGTAGAGTTTCTCTGTGCACGGAGCAACTGAAGCTAGGAGTAGGACGGGCGCAAGCTGCCACCAAAAATCCCGGGAGCTGGCTCATGGGGGGACATCGACTTGGAATCGGCGACGCATCGCCGGTAGATCGGCGATAAGCCATCGAATGCGAAACCGTGTGCTCCTGGGCGGGGGTGGGCCATCAGGCACCCTGTCGTCGGTGCATGGACTTTGGGGCGGTCGGCGCGTTCCCCCTCATCGCTGCCTCTGGATCTTGCTTCGGCTCCTCGCCCTGCCGATCCAGCCTTAGGACAGGCCATCCTCTCACTGGAATGAACCGAGCATCCACCGCACAAGAACGCAAACGTGCATCTTTCGGAGGTCCGTGCGGATGTCTTGGGTCCGCAAAGCACACACAGCACACACACACACACACCCTCACACGCACGCACGCACGCACGCACGCATTCATGCACACACACACACACAAGTTTGGGCGGTCGCGGCTTCGCGCGCAGCGTCGAGGCGGAAAAACATCTGCAACGGCCGGGGCTCCGCGTGCGCAAGGCTCAGAAGGGAAGCAGCGCCGCGTGCCATCCGGGCGTGGATTGCGGGCAGAGAAGAAAAATGAAACGACCACTGACCGGAGGAGGGCCCGTACGGAAGGCGACGTATGCGACACGGGCAGCACGACACGCGACACGACGGGCGGACGATCCACCAGCGCGCACTCAGAGAGCGAAGGAGTGATAGGCGAAACGACGGAGGGGACGCAAGTGGAGACGGCAAATTGCCATGGAATATGCTCAGCGCCTGGACTTTCGGCTCGCGGGAGGGGGGGCCCTAGAGGCTAAGCTGGTATGACAAGAAAGCATGGGGGTCGAAGGTCGTTGGAATCTCCCCAGCGCCATCCGCAGAGCTAACGGCATTCTGGGTGACCCATTCGCGCCAAAAGGCGGTCGCGAGATGGACTACCAGGCAGGCGCCATCGAAACGATATAATCTCATATTCTTTGGTCGGGATATTATGCAGTTTCGAAAAAGACTACGATACTGCTCTGGCAACGAAGTTGTATTGTTCATCATGCAAATAGATTCCGATACTGGTCCGATGGTGGTGTGGTGGAACATGTGAATAACATAGTGTTCCGATCGTGGTCTGGTAGTGTCCCGATAATGGCGAAGCGCCGATCGAAAACCTGAGTGTGCTTCGATTATGGTCCTGTGCCCTGGTGGTCCACTAACGCTGTGGTATAGATCGTCGATCATAATATGCTCAGATAGCCCAACCTTGATGTATGATCAAGTTGAGGGGTCGGAAACAGTCTTACACCGTCCGTGGGCGAGTGGCTGAAGTAGGGTTTCGCTGCGCGGATTCATATTGTTGCTGCTGTTGTCGCCCCGCCAACGACCTGCCGCGCAACCCTCCTCGACAATCCCTCCCAAGGCGCCCACTGTGTCTAAAGGCGTTTCGAAATCCGCCGACCCCTTGGGGTCACGGCGTGCGAGATGCTTCCCCTTCCCCAAACCCCTCCCCCGGGGACCCGGTCCGGCCGGTTTGGAGGGGGGGGGGGTAGGGGGCAAAGGTGTTGGCCGCGCACCTGGAGCCTCAGGAGGCCCCAAAACGTGCCAACAAGGTTCAGAAGGGTCCCAAAACGGTCCAAGAGAGCTACAAGTCGACGAAAGATCGTTCCAAAACGCCAAACATTGCCTCCAAACGGCCCCATCAATCCCCAAGTCTCTTGAAAAAGTACTACGAGGCGCCCCGCGAAGACCCGCCAGAAACAAAAATCGTCCCATTCCCTGTGGAAAACGTACGTGTTCAGCACATTCGCCTTTTGGGCTTCCACGCGGCCCACAACAGTCCAAGAAGCCTCCAGGATCGAACCTCCACAACCCAAGAGGCTCCAAAAAAGGCCCCAAGACGGCTCTCAGGCGATCCACGCAGGCTCCAGAAACCATAACAACGGCCCGGGAGAGTCGCAGGACGGTCCCAAGAGGGCTCCAAACGGGCCAACCGGGTTCCCAAAGGCTGCCCAGACGGCCCACGCGGGGGACGACTCGGTCCAAGCCGCCCAAGATTACCTCCAGACGGCCCCATAGGCCCCCAAGACGTTTGAAACGCGTCCACGAGGCGCTCCAAGAGGGCGTCCAAAAGCAACAACCGTTTCATTCCCTCAGGAAAACATTCATTTTCAGTACAGTCGCCTCTTGGGCTTCCACGAGGCCTACAACGGCCCAGTAAACCTCCAAGTTCGACCCCCGACACTCCCAAAGGCCAAAAGGGCTCCACGACGGCTTCCGGGCGCACGCGGAAGGCCTCAGACACCACAGCAACGGCCCAGGACGGTCACACGAGAGCGCGTTCGCCTCTTCGGCTTTCACGACGTCCACAACAATCCGAAAAGCCTTCCAGATCGACCCAATACGACCCAAAAAGGCCCCCACATGGACTCCAAGACAGCCCAAATAGGCGCCAAGAGGCCCCAGAAGCCACCAAACCGACCCAGGACGGCCCAGGACGGCCCCAAAAAATTCCCCCAATGGGTCCCACAAGGCTCCCCCGACGGCTCCAGAGCACGAGTTACGACTCGTGGGGAGATCGCTCCCAGACGCCCGCCATTGCCTCCAGCTGACCCCAGAGGCCCCCTAGACGCCCCAACGCGCCACCTGGACGCGTCCCTCGGCCCCTTCCCGAAAAAAAACGTCTAAGTTTAACATATTCACTTCTTGAGCTTTCACGAGTCCCACAGCAGCCCAAAAAGGCAACAAATTCAATCCAAAAGCCCCCGCATGCCCCCCAAAAGGCTCCCACACGGCACAAACGGGCCCCAACAGGGCCCCCGAAGCCAGCGGGGGGAACCCTGGGACGGCCCCAAGGAGGGCAAGAAGAGTAACCCGAATGGAAAATTCATGCATGTCCCCCCGAGAAAACATGAAAAGGGCGCCAAAATGCACCCAATAAACCCTGATGGGGATCCGCAATGCCCCGGAATGACCCCGGGGCCTGGAGGCGGCCCTTCAACGACGAAAACAACGAAAAAACTGGACACAATAAGATTCTGCAGCAAAATGATCCTCTTTCCTCACTCAGAAATCGTTCGCCAAGGAGCCCCCCGGACCCGTCCCGGAATCCAGTCGCAATCGTTTCCCCACATACATCCAACCGCGGCGACAGGGGAAAGGCCCGGACCCCCCCCCACCACAAAAAACCTCCCGAATCCGACGGGCTACTCCGCAAAGGCTCGTTCCCCGAACCTCTCCCCACGTCCGCTGATGCAATTTCTCGCCCCAGGTCCGTCCGGTTTTGAAAATATTGGGGCCCAGCAGCGGCACCCAGAGACCGAAACCTATCAAAAACAAAACTGCTCAAACAAAAATGCATGGAAAGGCGGCCGGAACTGCCGCATCTACCTCGATCGAGAAGAAGAAGAAGAAGAGGAATAATACTAATAATAATAATAATAATAATAATAATAATAATAAGAAGAAGAAGAAGAAGAAGAAGAAGAAGAATAATAGTAGTACTAATAATAATAACAATAATAATAATAAGAGAAGGGCGAGGAGGAGGAAGAGAAGGAAAGCGAGGGGAAGAAAAAAAAGATTTCGTCGTCGCCGCCGATATCACACATATTTTCGCGGTCTTTCGACCACCCGAGGCATCTCCTCGAATTCGGCCTCCAGTAACCGCTTTCGGTGCCCAGGACCACCGCCGAGGGTCCGGGATGAGGATCGACTTCCTTGGCCAATGCCACCCCTTCGCAAAGGAAGGAACGCGGGGTGGATCGAGACTCGAGGCGTGAGACTCCTAGTTCTTTGACGCTCTCCGCCCCCTTCTGGGCCTTCAGGAAGCTCCTTGTCCACGCAGCTAGGTCCACTCTCGAATTTCTGGCCGGACGCACCCCCAGCTGGGTCTCAACGATCTCCGAGCCTATCCAGAGGGTGGAAAAGGAGGCCTGGGACAGGCCCCGCGAAGGCCCCAAGAAAAAACGATCCCCTACAAGCCCCCCCGTTGAACCCCACGCGCTACGCAAGACAAGCCGAAACCCCAAGATTGCCCAACGATCGCGCGTGTTCCGCGAATTCCGTCGTTCACTGTTGCTGCCGCCCCAAGGGGTCGGCGGTGCGGCGTAAGCCACTGAATCCACGTCCGGAGGTGGCGTGCTGAGCGGCAGCGTTTTGCGGCGAACGCCTTAATGCAACGTATCCAATGTATCCAAAGATTCCATAATTGCAACATATTGTATTGTGTTACATTACTATGTCTCCCCCCCTAACCTCCCCCTGGGAGCTGCGCCACACCGCCGGACCAAAGTGACCCCCCCCTCCCGGGGCTCAAAAACCTACCAAAACTTATAGAAAATCTATGATTTGACCTTTTGGGCCTCTTGGGGGGCCGAGAGGGCGCCAAGACGGTTCAAGATGGGCTCTGTGCGGGCCACAACGGCCCCGAGACCCGAGATGGTTCCAAGAGGGCCCAAAAAGCCCCAATGACGGCCCAAGAGGGCCCCAAGAGCGCCCACAACTGCGCCTCCAGAGGCCAAAATCATTGATTTCCCAATGTTTTCGGCACTGTTTTAGCGTTCTCGCCTTTGCGGCCCAAGCAGCTTCGCAAATCGCTCCAGCACGACCCAAAAAGCCCCCAAGAGGGCCCCAACACGGCCCAACAGAACCCCAAGACGGCCCAAAGAGGCCCCCAAAACGGTCCAAGAGGCCCCTATGACGGCCCAAGAGGACCCCAAGACGGGCCCAAGGCGGCCGCGAGAGGCCCCCAAGACGGCCTCCGAAGGGGCGAAACGGCGCAAAAGCGCACCAAAACCGCCAATGACGCCCCCAAGAAGCCCCAAGAGGCCCCCAAGAGGCCCCCAAGGGGCCCCAAAAAGCCCCCAAGAGGCCTCCAAGATGTCTTCAAGAAGCCTCCCAAAGGCTCCAAAGAAGCCCCCCGAAGGCCACACAGCGACTGGAGTGCAATGTCATTTTTCCCACCTGGGCGAACTGCGGCGCAGCGCCAGCCAGGTGGAAGTTGGTCACAGCGGCGCCCATGATTAGAGCCGGCGCTGGAAGGAAATATGCGGAGGGAGTATGAAAAGGAGGGAGGGGGGAAAGGCCCCAAAGAAGTCCCCAAG